GTTACCGTTATTACTTCCGGTTCGACAGGTCCAACCATCTGCTGCTGGTCAGCGAGATTAGTGCGGCAAACGGGACAAGTCACGTGACCCTGGAGCCATTCGCCGATGCAGTGAGAGTGGAACACGTGATCGCATTTAGGTAGCAAACGCAGCGTTTCATCGTCCTCGAACTCGTTCAGACATATCGCACACTCCAAAACACATTTCCCTATCTTATTTGTCTTCACTTCTGAGTAGACGAAAGTTGGGAACGTCTCGATCAATGACGCGTCGAGACCACGCACCATCGTCGCGTTCGTCACTCTCCTCGCTCCTACCCAAAGGTTAACGCTGCCGTCGACTGTCCCCGTGCAGTGACGGATGTAGACGGTGAAGAATCCGATGAAGAAGAGAATGATGACTATAGCTACAACGACCACAGCCATGGCGGGAGAGAGCCTGCCGCCGTAGTCATAAGGGTTATATGGGTCTTCTTGTACGGTTTGACTTGACGCTAGCTCCGACATGGCTAATAGTAGAAACAGGACAACGGTTTGCTTTCTGGTCAACGGTAAGCCGAGAAGATCTATCTGATGTAAGAAACTCTTCATGCTTTTAGAATTTCAGAACCTAAGTTTAGTTCTTGATTATTATCACATGAGAAGAGAAGATTGTGAATTTTATAGAGACTAGAGAGAGATATATATTATTTGAAAAGTTGAAGGCTTGGAGAAGAAGAAAGGTGGAACGTACTCAAGAAGGTGGTGGGACCAGTTTGGGGATATGTCATGAGAAAATGTGTTACTAACTTACAGAGAGAACTTTCCAGTTGTGGAGGCAGTGAAAGTCATCATACTCTCGAGAGTTTGACATGGTCTCCTATCTATTAATATGAAAGGAATCGTTTTTCTTTTCCTTTCTCTATTGTCATTTTCGTATTCTTTGTAGCCTTTCCACCCACAAGTTTTCATTATTTGCTGTTAAAATCTCTTGGAGATTTAACCAGATTAGTTTGAAAAAGATTGATGAGCTTCATCAGCGGAATAAGTTTACCGACTTTGGAAGACCATCACACTTAGTGGGGGTTATTGGTTCTAGGATTTTATAGATTTAGAAATCCTTTTTGAATTTTGAAATTTTTGACAAATCCACACATTGTAGAATCAAATACATAGATTTCAGAATCAATGAAATAGATTTCAAAATCAATATAATTGAATTATTAGAAATCAACGAAATAGATTTGTGATAAACACAGCTTTGTAACAAAAGAAAATATATATAAAACTACAACATATGGTTTATCATTTTCTATATCTTATGTTATTATGATAACATAAAATCTCTCACATACTTGTTATTATTGCCGTTCTCACTTGATTGGCATATTATGTTTGTTGATTTTTAGTTCCAGTAACTTCCTCAAGATCTTCTTCTTCATCAAAAAATTTTTATTCAGAAAAGTTATCGATTCGTCAAAACTTTTTAAAAAGACTACACGTAAACTAACATACAAATATTCTCTCTGTTTGTGTCTTATAAGCAAAAGGGGATGCACATTAAAAATTAAAAATCGAGATTTGAATATATAAAAAAATCTTAACATTTCTCAAAAAAACATGATGATGGTAAACAACTCTTTTTCATTTATGGAGTAGAATCTCTAGAAAACATTTGTAGACCAAAACTCTTATGAGAGATCTTTGGTAAATTTTTCTATTAATGTTTATGTGTACGTAAAACTAAGTTAGAGATGGTTGGTTAATATATTAGTATTTGCTTATTATTAGAGAAACATGGATAATATGTACGTAAAACTTGGGGCAAGAAAACAATTATTAAGAAAATCAATAACACACTATCAAAATAACAAGGTACAACTCAATATTTGATTCTTTATATTCTTAACTCACAAATCCACTCAAATCTATTTTAAAATCAAATCCTCAAGCAAATCATTATTATTGAATAACGCCTGATTTTAAAATCTATTTTAAAATCATAGAACCAATAACAATGAATTTAAATATATATTTTAAAATCATAGAACCAATAAAAATGAATTTGAATAGGGATTTTAAAATCATAGAACCAATAACATTATATTTGATTTGTATTTCCAAATCAACTAAAATATACAAACCAATAAAACCAATAGACTGTAACTGGAATGCTATTTTATGGAATAGATTTGTTTGGAATGCATCATGCCATAGCATTCCATAAAATAAATATCAGTCATAATGAATACCATGTAAAATAAGTCCATATATTCCATTTTTGGAATGAAACAAAAACAAAATCCTTTGCAGATTTTATTCATTTTGTTCCACAATATAAACTCTCCCGAATGAATGGAATGAGTGGAATTAACTAGAGAAAATAGTTTTTTTAAGCCAAATAGCTTTGGACATTGTCCCCTTAGGTTAATTTGATTTACTTATTGTCTCATTAGGCTAAATATTTTCTAAATGGCAATCCTACCCTTAAATTATATAGTTTTAGTTATTAATTCGTAATTAGGTTAATTTTAATTAAAAAAAAATTGAAATTTATTTTTTTAATAAATACTAAAATATAATATTATTCTAAAAGGATAAAATAAAAATAAAATTTTATATCCTTGCTATATTTTCGGATGGGTGTAAATATAATAATTTTTTTTTTAATTTTTTTTTTAGTAATTTTTTTATAAAAAAATTAAATTTAATAAACTAAAATTATACACCTAGTCCACAGTAATACTCCATCAGTTTTTTTAAAAAAAATTCGGATTGGTTTCCATATTTACACCTCGTCCACAGTATTTTTTTTTTTAAAATATAATAAATATTTTTTTTTAAAAAAACATTGAATTTTAAATATGGAAACCGAATATTTCCTAATATATTCTTGCTATATTTTCGGATCTAATAATATTTATCCGTAGAATTCAGATTCTACTAAAGGTAGAACTGTGTAAAAAGATATGAAATCAGTTTCTACATGTATTAGAACGTTGTGAGAATGTAGATTCCGATTTCTACTAGTTTTAGATTTAAGTAAAAGTTTTGATTTCAATTTCTACTTTTATTAGAACTCTATGATATGTGTGGAATGTGTATTCCAAACTATTTTAGATTCGTGTTATCTTCGTAGAAAACATATTCTACAGTTCGTAGAAATAGTGAAAAAGTGGATTCCGTATTCTAATCCGTAGTATACGGATTCTAATTTCGGTAGAATAATATATGAAATTATTATTTACATATTTTTAAAACATGAAAAAATATCACTATATAGATATAGGGGTTTCATCACTATGTACTATTTTTTAAAAAAAAAATTGCTTCATAAATCTATTTTTTTTTTAATAATTTCAGAAATAAATAAAGGGTATTAAAGTCAAAATTGGTACAAAATATAATTTAGACTAAAGGGACAATGTCCAAATCTATTTGGTTTAAAAAAACAGTTTCCCCAATTAACTATTCTATTAATACTCGGATTAAAAAGAACACTATCTAACAATAATAAAAGGAGAATACTCTTAATAGAGAGAGTGTCCACATAGGATTAAAAAAATGAGAAAATAGTTTTTTTTAAGCCAAATAGCTTGGACATTGTCCCCTTAGGTTAATTTGATTTACTTATTGTCTCATTAGGCTAAATATTTTCTAAATGGCAATACTACCCTTAAATTATATAGTTTTATTTATTAATTCGTAATTAGGTTAATTATAATTATAAAAAATTGAAATTTATTTTTTAATAAATATTAAAATATAATATTATTCTAAAAGGCTAAAATAAAAATAAAATTTTATATCCTTGCTATATTTTCGGATGGGTGTAAATATAATAATTTTTTTTAAAAAAATTTTTTTTAATAATTTTTTTTATAAAAATATTTAAATTTAATAAACTAAAATTATACACCTAGTCCACAGTAATACTCCATCAGATTTTTTTAAAAAAAATTCGGATTGGTTTCCATATTTACACCTCGTCCACAGTAATTTTTTTTTAAAAAAAATATAATAAATATTTTTTTTTAAAAAAAATTGAATTTTAAATGTGGAAACCGAATATTTCCTAATATATTCTTGCTATATTTTCGGATCTAATAATATTTATCCGTAAAATTCAGATTCTACTAAAGGTAGAACTGTGTAAAAAGATATGAAACCAGTTTCTACATGTATTAGAACGTTGTGAGAATGTAGATTCCGATTTCTACTAGTTTTAGATTTAAGTAAAAGTTTTGATTTCAATTTCTATTTTATTAGAACTCTATGATATGTGTGGAATGTGTATTCCAAACTATTTTAGATTCGTGTTATCTTCATAGAAAACATATTCTACAGTTCGTAGAAATAGTGAAAAAAAGTGGATTCCGTATTCTAATCTGTAGTATACGGATTCTAATTTCGGTAGAATAATATATGAAATTATTATTTACATATTTTTAAAACAGGAAAAAATATCACTATATAGATATAGGAGTTTCATCACTATGTACTATTTTTTAAAAAAAAATTGCTTCATAAATCTATTTTTTTTAATAATTTCAGAAATAAATAAAGGGTATTAAAGTCAAAATTGATACAAAATATAACTTAGACTAAAGGGACAATGTCCAAATCTATTTGGTCTAAAAAAACAGTTTCCCCTAACAAAATTAACCAATGAGGGACTTTTAATTTCCCATGTCATCCTAGCTGCTGAGTTTGGGTCATCCTCGCCACTCGCCGTCTCTGTTTCTCCTACAAATTTTCTCTTCTCGTTTCTTTACCTTCCTCTCATTCAATATTTTCTTTAAATTCAACAATAATTGTTATTTTCATTATATTTCAGAGGTTTCTCCCTTTTGACTCAAACTCAAAAGAGAATCTGAAAAAACCCCGATGATTGCATGGCAATTGCTAGATCCGCAACGACACATTCATGAACGGCTCCGGCTATTCGCTTTCTCAACTACATTCTTCCCGGAGGCAATCTGAAGAAGGCGGAATCTGGAACGCCTCTTAATTGGTCTTCAAATGCCGATTCATAAAAAGAACGATCACCTCCGGCGTTCCAGACTTATATCTCAGGTACCTTTTAACCTTCTATTTTGCTTTTAGTTATTTGATTAATATAATTTTGGCCCCTTGAATACATGTTTGAATCATTGACTGAAAGAAGGAAAACACTTCTGTGTAATGATTGTTCTGTGATGAGTGTTTTAATTTAAAGAAGTCGGCCTGGTATGATTTGTTCATGGACCAAAGAAATAGAAAAAACTGATCGGCTTTTGCACTTTTTACAATTGTCTTAGCAAAACAAAATTTCAGTTCATTGTGGGGTTGCATGATTAAGAAAAAGTATATGAAAATGATTCCTTGAACGTTTAAGTCATATATTAAACCTTTGCCTATTTGCTCACAATTGTAGTTAATTTTTGAATTTAGAAGATTTGTTTGGTTAAAAATGGTTATGACTTGTGATGCAGGCAGGAGGATGGTCCAACACACGGAGGAGCTGTATCTACAGGAAAACCATACGCAGTGCCTCATCAAATCACATGGAGAAAGTTTTGGTCTTTACTGGAATCTTAAGCAACAAAGCTAATGAGAATTCTGGTTTGTTGTCCAGAACTATATCATATGAGCTTTTATCATTTTCCTGCAGTGACTAAATATCTTTATTTGATGCAGACTTCTACAACTGGAACAAAGTCAAATTGCGTTACTGTGATGGTGCCTCTTTCCCATGCGATAGTGAGGACCAGGTTAGTATTCAAACATAATCTGCTCTCTCACTTCCCTTTCTCTTGGCTTTTATAATGTCAAGCCAAAGCGCAAGGCGCTCCAAGGCCAAGGAAAGCGATTTGCATACGAAAAGAACAGGGCATACTGAGTTTGTGGATAAGACAACGGAGACGGTAAAACCTATCATCTTGGGAGCTCCTAAGCCTGCTATGGAGATAGACAACCCCAATGGTGGCAGTGGAAGTGGAGATGCTGCTGAAGGTACATTGTAAATGCTAATTCATATATGTTGCATGAGTTTCTGAATGTGACATCAATGTTATCTATTATGGTCGTTATCTCTTTCTGTAGAGATGGTTGTTCCACACGTCGACAAAAGCATTCTCGAGGAACTTGAAGCGATGGGTTTCCCTAAATCTCGTGCTACCCGAGCACTTCAGTACTCTGGTAAAGATCTCACGTTATTCACTATTGATTGAATGTTTTGCTTACTAGATGATGTTTATCTTGATCGTGTGTGACTACACTCTTGAACACGTCTCATTTATCCCAGTAAAGCATGTTGCTATCATGCTAAGTTTTTAAACTCTTATTATGCTGTGTTTTTTTTGGGTTATCATGTTATTATGTGGCAGGCTCAGTAAAGAAAACAAATTACACCTTTCTGAAAACTTCAGTTGTACACTTTGGCTGGCTGTTGAAAGAGATCCAAGTAAAATTTGGAAGCAGAGAGGAGTAAACTGATGAAAGAACTTCATCAGCATTACGACAATTATCCATCTTGGTCATTGTAGAAAATTCACTGCTTTCTTCCTCTTTCTTTGCTTGAAAGTCACTTCGACTCCATTTCCATGATTTGCCTATATTTCAGCTGTGATAAATCTCATGCTTCAAATCTACATTGCTGCTACAACTCGACAAAGCGGTATGCATGCGTATAAGCGGATTAGTATGTGTTTTTGGTCAGGCATATGTATGTGTATCACAACAGTTGTTTAAAACTTTTAAAACTGTTGATGGTATAAGCCAAATAAAATAGTGTTATAATTTTCTACTATTTGTTTATAAACAATAATATAATAATAATCGTGTACAGTAATTTTCCGATAGTAAAGTTTACCAAATGTGTTTATGCTTTATTATAAAAAAAATATTGAGATATGAATACAACTTCTAATATAAATAATACTTAGTTCTAATTTTGTAAAGTTTTTGAATAGATAATAATATCAGTAGAAATCAATCTCAAAATATTAATATTGATTTAGGTTTATGAAGATATGTTTCATATTACAATATTTAGTTTACAAAAAATAAACAGTAAAAAAGAAATATAATTAAATACATAAATTTTCATTTTTGTAATTAGGCAAGCAACTAAAAAGGAAGTCATAGAAACAGAACTATAAATTCCTGAAAATATGTAGTTATTGTAAAAAAACCATATGAATCGACACTTTACATGATTTTTATCAATTATTTTATAATTTACTTTTGTTTTAAACAAAACAAATAATATTTTCAATATTTTATCTCTTGGTTGCCCCATATAATTTCATCCATTCGTTTTCACCTCTTGAGTGTACTGAATCAATATTACGAACAGAAAAAAAAATTAATGCATCATGAAAACCCCAATAGAATACTAACTCTATAATCAAACTTAATCATAGTAATTAACGTTAACAGGATCTAAGACTATTTAAACTGAATATTAAATTATATCAATTGTTTTACATTTCAAACTCTATAAAGTAACTCAAACTACTAAAATCTGAGACCTCATTTATTACTCACAAAATATTTGATTTTTGTAATCAAAAATAGTCAAATTATTTACTTCAGATTATTCATCAAAAGATTCCACCAATTCTATCATAAGAGTTTATTAACCAATATCTTAAACTAAAATAAGTAAGAAAATTTAGATACAAATAAGTTAAGTCAAATAAAAACAACAATTAGCTGTCCACGAATTAACATACTTTAAATATATTTAAAATCATAAAATAATTTATATATAAAATATATATAACCACAAAAATATTAAATATTTTATATAGAAGAAAACATTAAGAATACTACATGAAACCACACTAAAATTTTCACATAGGAATTGAAGAAAAATATTCATATCAAATAATTTTCTTTTAATAAAGAGAAAATATCCAAAAGTAACTAATAGACCTTTAATAAGAAACGACAATTAATCAACCAATTACTATTTTGTCTTAACAAATATCTAAAACTTTTATACGAAAAATGACTTTTGTATAAGAAAATCAAAATGATGAATAAAAAAATCAAAAATATACACGATCAAAATATATATTTTATTTTCTAAATGTTTGTATATGATCAAATTATTATTTAAATTATATTTTAAAAATATTATTTTATTTAATATATTATGTTTCAGTTTGGTGTTTTTGTTTTGTCTTCAACTCGAAAACAGATTCTAACTAGACTCTGTAAACCAAACTGGTAGATCGGCACCCATATGAACAACATATGAATGCTGTTTTCTGGTACTGCGTGCGAGACTATCCGCCTTGGTATTTAGCATTATTGGTATATGGATGATGTCTGAGTGCGTGAAACGTTTCTGCAGGATCTTTTGAATTTCCAGATAATTTGCAAAGGCTGGCCATTCGTTTGGTGTAGAAACCATCTTCACCAACTGAATACAATCCGTAGCAAACATGACTTGAAATTGACGTAAACTTCTCATGCACTCCATTGCCCATATAACAGCTTCTATCTCCGAATGCAGTGGCGATAGACTTGCTCTTGTATTCCTTGCACCCATTAAACCGCGAAAATCTTGAAAAGTATTATACCATCCTTGTCCCGAAAACTTTAACTGATTTTTCCAAGACCCATATGTAAAGCACCAACGGTCCGGTATGGATGGTAGCCTAAATTCTTCGTCCTCATGTACTTGTTGGGGAACTTGTCTCATGGACTCTTCGGCCTCCATCCATAATAGCGATTCAGTCTCCGCCAATTTCAGTGTATCAGAAGCTCCCACAACCATATTACTAAAAACCTTATTATTTCTTGCCTTCCAAATATATCATAAAATCCAAGCAAAATGGTGGTCATCCATCTCTGGCTTTACCCTCCATAATAAGTGATCCATGTTTGTGAATAGCGCCTTGGTAGGAAAAAACTCCGGGTTTGAAGAAATTTTGGATAGTGCCCATACTTGTACCACATGAGGACATACAAAGAAAACATGGTTTACTGATTCCTCTTTAGCTCTACATCTCATACAGTGTATGCCTCCTTGTATACCTTTACTCTAGAGGTTTTTCATCACCGGTATACACCCTGGTAGACTGCCAAATGAAATGTTTTATCTTTGGTGGGTAGCGTATCTTCCAGACATGGGTCTTTAGCAGTGTGACCGTAGGTCCGTATTCCAGAGTCAATTTTTCTCTATCTGGGTATACCCTTTCTACCTGATATCTTGATTTAACCGTATACCTCCCAGTGGTTATGAAATGCCATCCATCTTTGTTCACCAGTTTATGTTTACTGAGAAGAATACTTTCAATAATCTTCACGTCCTCTGGGTCCACTATAGTCCAGAGTTCCATGTGCAGTTTGGTGTTTTTATTTTTACTACAACAATCAAACATAATGTATTACAAACAATAAATTATTATTTATTAGTTTCGGCCAGCCTTACGGGCGGGATGCTGATTAACAAATAATTAAATAATAAAAGTAAGTATTAATGTTAATTGTTATTATTTTGAAGTATACATATAAGATAAATTTTTAATACGTTAGTGTATTTGAAAACTAAATAAACTATATTATCTGAAAAATTGGTTATAATTTTCTAAAATAAATATTACTTTTTATTTAAAAAAAAAATTATCTCTTTTTCGGTTAATAAGATAATTTTCTTTTTTAAGTAATCTTTGTTTTTTTGTTTGGTAAAATCTATGTTTTAATTATATATTAATAATTTTCATAATATACATTTTTAATTTTAATTTCCTTAAACTCACTGTTTTAATATTTATGTAATATAGAGTTTTTTACTAATATTTTTGTCACAAATAAAAAAAAAGAATATTCATGTTTGCTTGAATTTTTCATATTTGAAAATCAAGTAAGCCATTGTACTTTCGATTAGCTAGCAACTCTAGTAGTTTTCTTGAAAGATTTTCTTAAAGGACTATTTTTGCTTTGTTTGATGACCTGAAAGCTCTGAAAGTCCGGTATTTGCTTTGTTTCCAAGATCAAACTTTTAGCTGCTTACTCTGGATCATCTATCCTCCGCGTTTTGGAAGCCACATGCATCTCTCTGCTTTTCTTTTATATCTACTGTTCGGTACTTCAAGAGCAGTTCCTGGTTTAGAAATGCTCTAGTCTTGTTGGAGAGAGGATCCACGGAGTGGTGACTAAGTTGTTCTATATTCCCCGGTGAAACTCATGGACAGCTCCAGTATGCTGAGGGAAGGTAAAACGGCACAACCGTTGATGATACACCGTTCCAAGCGTACAGCCAAGCTGGTGGTGGTTTTGGAAAATCGTAGAACAGAGCATGGTCTCCATCCAGTTGCATTGCAGATGAGGCAGAGTTTTCCTCTGATTTCTTTAGCTTCTTCTCTTGAGAGCAAGTTCTAAAACGACTCTTCATCCCGGTTTGCAGCTTAAGGCATTTCCGTTTTCTCAGTTATACTCGATGTCGTATACTCTTTATTAGATTCATCTGTTATGACTTTTCCCTCACTCTATCTTTTTCTTCCTGGGAAAACATAAAAGTTTTTTTTAACTGATGGAAAAACATAAAAGTTGATTTCAATAATCAAATAACTTTGCTAAAAATATTGTTCATGCCAAACAAAGAGCAGGGAAAACACATATTGTTTATCTGGAAAAATCAAAAATGGTGCTCAACTCATAATCA